TCTCTCTCTCTCTCTCTCTCTCTCTCTCTCTCTCTCTCTCTCTCTCTCTCTCTCTCTCTCTCTGTGTGTGTGTGTGTGTGTGTGTGTGTGAGACAAACATTCGGACAGACAGAGCAACGGGCTGTTTAGGCGTCATCTGCCGCTTTGGTTACTGAATAACGACCGGCCGGGCAATCCATTAATCACAGTTGTCTCCTCCCAGTGACCTAGCAAGAGCGTTCATCGCCGTGGCCATCCCATGGAATGCAGCAACCATCGCTTGAGACTGCTCCATCATCATCTCTCCTTGCTTCTCAAGGATTGTCGCTGTCCTGTCCGCAGCCTGCGTAAAGGCCACGGCGAAGGCTTGGGCTTGCCTCTCAAGCGCTACCGTCAGATTATCTATCGCGACGGCGGCATTCGTGTTCCTCTTTACTCGAGGAGCACTGTCTTCTCCCACTTCCTCGTCCGGACTTGTTCTTTTTTTTGATGCCACGGTACCCATCCCCAAGCTCCCTGCCGCTTCCTCCTTCGTTCCGCCGTCCTCATCGCTCTCCTTCGACGAGGTCGACATTTTCTTCCGTCCTCTCGCCGTTTTCTCCTCTCTCTACTCCTTTCTCCTACGCTTCTCCCTGACCCTCTCTCCTCTCTTCCTTCTTCTTCTTCTCCTCTCCCTCCTGCTTCTCCTCCCCCTACACTCGGCTGCAATGGCACAAAACTACATGCAGCCGCCCACCTGCCAAGCACTGTGCACGCGAGACAACGTCGAAAAAACAAACCGTTCTATGTATCCTGTTCTCGAGATATATATACCTATTTACACCCCTCGGACATTCACATCGTTCATGGAATGACGATGACGAAGGGAGAGCAAGAAGGTGGGGAAACAAAAAGAAGTGAAAGCCGCCAACAACAATGCCCACTTCACACTCTCTTTTTCCCACGCTCCCCTCGCTACTAGTAGCTCTCTTCGCGTTCTAAGATCGATCTATGGCTATGGAGGAGACGAACAAATAGCAGGGAAGAAAGGCTAATGCAGCGGCTATGGCGATGGTAGCAACTCCGCATCGATGGCGTTGCCTGCTCCTCTTGCTTCTGCTACTTCCCCAACCTTCCCTGTCGTCTTTTCGAGGGAATCATTAAGCGCAGCTATGGCTATAGGCTACCCGCCCAAACGGTCACCAAGAAGCGCTCACGCGTTCGAAATCCAGAGCTAGAACGGGCATGGAGGCATGTGCAGCTCCCACTCGGCCTGGAACCAAAAGAGAGATCTCTCCCCCTCCCCCTCCTCCTCCTCCCCCGCCTCCTTCTCCTCCCCCTCCTCCTCCTCCCGTAGGGCCCGTTGAGCGAGGTTCTGGTTTGGTTTCACACAGATAAACGGCAGCGTTGGATCTGACCGTAGATAACTCAGATCAATGGCCAAACCTCAGTCACTGTGGAGGTAGCATGCAGGGGCGATTGCCTCCTCGTAGGACCCCGAATTGAAAAGACTCACCTTTGGCTCGAAACGGCGGGAGCGATGTCGTTTTGCCGTGGTTTGTTTTTTTTTTCTTCGCCGTGTTTCAGCGCCATGGGACACATCAGCCAGGGAAAAGGGGTCCCACTTGCACTGATTAAGAGATTCTGGCCGTCGATCTTTGCTATCTACGGTCAATATCGCTTAATTCGTGTAAATGGGACCTGGCCCCAGGCTAGGAAGAGCGCCACGGCTCTTCCGTCGAACAGTCTCGGTGTCGAAACTGCATTGTGGCATTGAGCTAGAGTTGCCCGCCCAAAAACAAAAAAGCAAGAAAGAGAAGTAGAGTTGCCGGCCCAAAAATAAAAAAGCAAGAAAGAGTTGCCCGCCCAAAAACAAAAAAGCAAGAAAAAAAGTAGAGTTGCCCGCCGAAAAACAAAAAGGAAAAAGGAAGAAAAAAAGTAAGTGGTGCCCGCCAAGGTCCAAGCCATGATTCACCCCAACGGGGTGTATCGACGTTCAGCCAATCCGGACTTTGTAAAAAGGGAGACGGCTACGATTGCAAGTTTGAGTGGACGAAGTGTGTGGTTCCTCTCCAAACCTGATCCCACAAGACCGAAAAGAGCCTTCTTATAGTACAGGCAGAGAACGCCCATGCGATGGTAAAGGCCCGACATAGGGCCCATTTATTGCCGGTAAGAGTCTCGGTAAAACTGTTGGGTTAGGTGAGTTTTTTGACTGTACCTGTACACTGTCTGGTTGTGACCATATGAAGTCGTTCATACAGCGGCCTTGCTCAGGGCACACTCACACTAGGCCCTCAAAATCGCAAAATCCCAAAATGAGCAACCAGATCTAGTCCTTCGTTTACAAGGACTCGATCTGACCGCTCATTTTGTGATTTTGCGAGTTTCAGGGCCTAGCGTCAATACACTCTCAGTTGGTAAGACTGTAGCTCAGTCGTTACAGCACGGGTTGGAAATGCGCGTTGTGGTATGCGGTTCTGCGCATAGACACAGGCAGGGCGGTAGAATGACGCACGGCTGGACACCCCCCCCCTTGGGCTGACGCATGGTAAGCTATTACAGACACTGCCTGTGCACAACCCAAGGGTTGTCCACGGTGTTGTATGTCAGGTCTTGATACTGTGTGGGTTGCTTGTCACTGTTGCTGGTGGTTGTTTTGTTGATCTCCCCAGTCTGGCATAGCTCACACAGGTGTCGTTTGCGACTGTTGCTCAAATGGTAGAGTCTTCAGGTCACATCTCATAGATGATGGGTTCGAGTCTGGCTTGGGACTTTAGGGGGGCACTTGTACAGCTTGGCCTGTCATCTCTTCAACGACACATAGTTCCCTCTACATAGTACTGCACATATCTGGCCTTCGGGCACATACATCTTGCTATACAGTTACACAGAGCACACATAGCCTTCAGGCAGACACAAACATGGCTTGTGCATATATACACACAGCCTGTGACTAGCCAGCTTCCGGACCTGCACCATCTTCCAACCCAACCCCTCCCCCCTCTTTTTCAATTTTTTGTTGTCTTTCAAACAGGCCGAAGAGGCCCCTTTCTGTATTTCCATGAATTAATGCGAATTGTTTGTGATCAGGGAAGCCCGTCCTTCTCAGAACCTTAGCCATTTTGGGCCGCTTTTTGGAATTCCATCTTTTGCAATCCGGGAAATACATGGGAAATACTCGCACCTTAGCGACTGCGCTAGGAATTTGGGTCGACGGTTAGGAATTCCGGAATGAGCGGAGCCTGACGTGTCCTTTCTTGTGCATGAAAGTTCTCGACTTCGTCTTGGAAAAGTCTGGGAATTTTCACATGAATCTGAATAGGTACAGGACTTTTTCCCATGATCGCTCTACGCGCGGATATGGTACTTTTCAATTTTGAATTAGCTGTAACTGTTTCGGTGCCCTTTTTGCCTCCGCGTCGGCGCCATGCATGTGACGCGCTAACCTCACGCCCTGCGCTGTCTTCCGTTCGGAGTGTTTAAATTGCGGAAGGGGGCCCCAGAAAGACAGTGAGATGGGGTGTGCCAAGGATTTTTGGAAAATTGAGTATAGGAACACGGACAGAACTGAAATCCCCTGTGCCGACCCGACTTAGTAAGAAGGGAGGGTCCGTCACTGCGCGGGTTTCAAGGGAGATAAAGGTGCGCGCGGGACGCTCGGCGCGGGGAAGTTCAATCCAAAAAGTATCGTTGAACTTCCCATCGGGCCGTTGCTTTTTGCTTCGCGTGAAAGGGAACGGGGACGCACTTGGTGTCTCGTTTTCGGATCAAGTCCCGACGCCGCTCATTGCATAACTCAGAATCTGACGTGGAGGGTCTCAACCGCGTAACTCGTTCCTGATGCTCGTCCTCACTCCGTACTCGGTAGTGGAAGCCTTTTGATTGGTAACGCTCAAAGCGACAACAATCGCTGCACAGAGTGTTAGGCCAGTGGGGCACCATTGTCGTCCACTAAATGACGATCAATTCATTAAAAGGTAATAGCAATGAATAAGGCGGAAAATGTGTATCGATAATGACAAAGCCAGCACCGACAAACCCTGAGCACCGAGTTTCGGGAGAAAAATAGTATCGGTCGCCGATTTTGGCGACGGCTTCTCGTACTTCCCACTCGCATACACGTGTCCTTTTCTCGTTATACGGGAAGGGACGTGGCGGGGATACAGTCGGGTTGAGGCCTTTAGTCCACATGGCAATCCAATCAATCACAAGAGTCAGTTTCAATCATTCATCGTTAATCTGACAATCGTAATGATCGAAAATGCACAACCTATCGATTGGGTTTTTCGAGTCGTCGCCTTTATTCGCCTTAGGCGTGCGAAGCAAAGTGAGAAAACTCCTTTATTTCCTCAAAGGTAGTTCAAAGGGAGAGAGAGAGAGAGAGAGAGAGAGAGAGAGAGAGAGAGAGAGAGAGAGAGAGAGAGAGAGAGNAGAGAGAGAGAGAGAGAGAGAGAGAGAGAGAGAGAGAGAGAGAGAGAGAGAGAGAGAGAGAGAGAGCATTCGTAATGATCTGATGGTCTCGTCAATAATTTTTCAGTACCCACATCAGGTGGGGTACAGTCAGTGATCCACGCATGCAGGTCGCACGTGGCGCCCTCCTTCTTTCTGAGAAGATAGATCGCATTTCGGGTTTTGCGTATCGAGGGCAAGCCGTAGATAGTATGCGTACTGTATTCCGGATTGAAGATCCCAGGGTATTTTTCTGCAATCACATCATCGACAGATCTAAACACTCTTGCATTCTCGAACAAAATTCCAACATCATTGCTCACTCTCATACATTCAATTCGCAACAACTCTTCGGCCTAATCAAAGACCAGTCCATCAACGACAGTCCACATTCGTGGTTACTCATCGCGGAAGGTGGGGAAATGACAGCCATACATCATTCAGTTCTCCGTGTGCTGTGCACCACTGCCCCGTCATCCCATGGCTAATAAAAACGCTGGCCCATCAGGCAACCATTTCATGACATGCATACAAAGTCATTCATATCATAAGGTAGGTGGGGAGAAGAAGTGTGAAATGTATGCAATAGATGACAATCATACAGAAATCCGAAGATGAAAAGAATTTTCGGCTTAACTGTCGTAGAGCTACACTCACACCAAATAATAGATTCGGGACAAGGAGGCGCATCCGCCATAAAGTTCCATCATGGCCCCGGGCCATTCGTCCATCCAACTCTGGTCATTATCCTCATACATGCACCGACGATCTCGGTCGTCGCGTGCCCCCTTCCACCATCGCGATCGTCACCTCGCCGACTTAGTTTCTCAACGGGTCTGCCCTGATCCTACATTCCGTTGTGGCGATTAGGCGCACAGCCACCTAGTCTACAGTCAGCCCGTCGGGACTTTTCGATCCGCACCACACACACACCTTCTAGCCACTGCTTCCCGGAGGCTGGCTGGCAAGTTGAGAGAGAGATTTGCGGACGCGCTTGCGAAATTTATAGTTGCAAGAGGGGAGATAGATGCGGGGGAAGATGAAGAATAGGGAAGAGGAGGGCGAGAGAGGGCTTGAGGGTAATCGCCCATCGAAAGTCATGTTGATCGCTCACAGTCCGATCTCAGCCAATTAGAATCGTCGCGTAGTAGGGATCTCCCCTTACACGACGTTTCTCCTTGGCTAGATGAGGTGAAGAGAGGATCGACCGGATTTTCGGGCGCAGGATTTAGAGCTGGAGGAAGAAGGGTGCGAAGGATAGCGCAAAACGGGTCCAAGATTCAGATGATCAAGAAAAAGAAAAAGGGCGCGCGCGAAAAAAAAAAGAGAAAAACAACTACAGGGGGGAGAGAGAGAGAGCATGGGCGTGCAAAGGAGGGCGTCGAGAGGCACGTGAGAAGGAAGGAGGAGGGAGCTCGTATGCATGGCGCTGAAAAAATAAAAAGGGGCACCGAAACAGTAGCACTCCAAGCCCCATGCTAATTCGAAATTTGAAATTACCATATCCGAGCGCAAAGTAGGCGTGGGAAAAGAAAGACAATCCTACGTCTATTCGTGTTCCTACAAAATTCCCAGATTTTTTCATGTTGTCGGCAAGAACATTCATGCGCGAAAGGACGCATCGAGTTCCGTTAATTATGAAATTCCTAACCGTCGAGCCAAATTCTGAGTGCGTTCGCTAAGGCGCGCGTAATTCCCAATGCATTTCCAAATTACAACGAAAAAAGAAATTTCAAAAATCACTAGT